ATCAAGCAATGGTCTTTATCGTATTGTATCGACATGTTTCTTTCAACTGCTGAGCACGTATTCGCCAAAAAGAGGGGTATCAGAGCTCGAGTGAAGAGATGGTGGCGTCTCTATCGAGTTGGAGCTCAGTACGATATTGACCAACTCTGTCAAGTCTTAAGAGACCAATTTGGGGACGTTACGTTGCGAGGGATGCCTCTCGACACTCAAGAGTGTTCCGTACGTGTAGCGATTCCGACCACAACATTTGATTCAAAACTTTGCCTGTACCGTTCTTACGGGGATTGTCTCTGCGAGGGGAAGTGTAGCGAGCATATTGCACGGGACCGGGAAGATCCCCTTTGTTGGCAAGCGTACGCCATTACTTGATCTCCTATTACGTGTTTCCCGTGTGACTAACTTTGCCTTTCATGATTTAGAATTGCAACCAGCTGCGCTGCTCCGCTGATGTTCGAACCCCTAAACGAAAAGCTCGACGGTCTTTTTGTCGCCAACAATCCGGCCTGGATTGCGATGATGGAAATTAATGACCTTTCCCTTCTAGTCACGCGAATGTTAGACTTCCATGTGAGTTTCGGAACGGGCCGATTGTTGGCCGCAGATCAGGGTGGTTCTCACAACTGGACGAAGTATCTTTTCCCAGAATGGATCCGGCGAGTGAAGTCTTGTGTCCGCGCCGCTGTGGACGCAGACGCTATGTATGAAAAATTCTGGAACACCCTCGACAAGGCCGAACAAGATGGTAAGCATTATCGAATAGATCCTGAAATCGCCACGCAGTCACTTGCACCGGACGACCCTACCGCGCTCTCAGAGCTCGAGACAGAAACAATGCGGTATATGGGGCTTCCAGATACTAAAGCAAAGACGCGACGCCTAAGACTCGCGATGCTGGCATCTTGCTTCTTTTGCACTCTACTCTCTCTACCCCGGTACGACCCGGTTTTAGGTCAATACCGCGTCCGCCTCGCGATCCAGTCACGGTGGCCCGAAGATGATACGATTTCTCAGTCGCTCCACAGTACATTGGAGACAGCGTCTTTTGTCGTCGGTGGAATTGCATATCCTTACAAATCCCCTTTAGCTTGCCTAAACTACGTTGATAGTCTAGACGTATCTCTTCATATCACGCTTACTCTTGATGGGAAAGAATCGCATCCCATTAGCGGTTTCCCGTTGACACTAAAACAAATGATGTACTTGCAGCTCCCTTTGAGTACAATGCCAGCTACATCCCCTAAACGTGGTGGGCCTTGCTTAGTTAGCGGTCGTTTGAAGCGTCGGTGCCTGGAGTGGCCAGTGTTAGGTGAGCCAGGGAAGTCTGCTTGGGTAACTTAGGCGGCATCCCATATCCTACCTCCAGTATTGACGTTCACCTTCTCTCCTGTGATTTACCTTAGATGCCCCATGCCATTTTAGTTCCAGTGAGAGATTGATATGCGTCCCACCGCAACCGTTTCTGGCAACCGTGTCCCCTCGCACCCGCCCAAGATTGAGGTACTTTGGAGAACAACGCCGGAATAATCAACCAACTGCTCTCAATTCGAAATAAGATTATTATATCTTTATTGTACACTGTTCCGATTTTACTCACAACAATGTTGATCTGTTGGCATTTTTCGTCGCAAGTTGCCTTCCCTTCCCTATCAAGGTTTCTGTGGCAAATTATGCTAAGCTTCAATGGTACTCAGCCAACCATTTCTTAAGGTTGGCGTTCTTAAAAAAATTACTGCCGATCAAAATATAACAGAAATACACTATACACTGTTCACGCCCGAAATAATTCATAGTTTGTTCGCACATGAACTTCTTAGGGCAACTCACTGCCTGTACAGTCTATTACATACAAAGCGTAATGAACATGCAATGTAAGGAATTCTAATTTTAGAGATTCTTGGCCCCGTGCTTCTCAGGTCAATCGTGTTGCCCACCTCCAGAGCCAGTTTTACTTTTGCCTCACACCAAGCGCTCTGAGTTCTATTCATAACCGAGTATAAAGATCCAGTAACAACTGTACTCGCCCTTAACGAAAGGTCTCCGCAGCCTGAAAATTACTCCGCCCCATCGAAGCCTAACGGTATCTCAGTCTCTAGGTTAAGAGATCGTGGCCATGGTAGGATTTCTTAAAAGGAGCAAGCTGTAGACCAGCAATACCTCACTCCGCAGTAAGGAATGGAGTTGTTGGAAATTGTCCTACATTTATCGAAGAATGGTCACCCGCTCCTGGTCAACATTGCTATAGTTTCATACACTATAAAGGTATATTCGAGGCCTAATTGATGTCCAAACAAGAACAGACGTAAATTAAACATGAAAGAATCAGCAATCATCTAAAAGAGGGGGTTACTTGGCAGAACTATGCACATCATCCCCGCAAGGACGAAGTGAGAAAACTTGTAATATCATAGGTCCGGTACTAACGTAGTTCTACAGATTAGAACCTGAAATCTGAATGGTCCGACTCCAGGTCCTAACTTATGTCGAGGCCTAGTCACAGATACTCGAGCAATTTTGCCTGTGCGAACTCCTCTGATCGGAATATCTTATTCGCAGACAGATCTAACGCCACTGGAAGGAGCGAGTGGGATCTGACTTGGTTTGAGAAGAATTTCCAGCCGCTTCCTCATTTGGGGAATGGGGATCTGAATAGCTAGTGGAAGAGGTTGGAGAAGACATTTCAGGTGGCCAGGAAAGGATATCATTCATGTCGTCCCGAGTCCGAGAGAAAAAAGCTGACAGAAATGCCCGACTTTGCTTTCATGTCGAAAACATGGAAATGCTCTTTCAAACCCTAGTCACATGATACAGTAAAATAACACATTGTGTACCAGACTGTAATAATACCACTCCTGTTCATGATACTGTTAAGAAAGAGATAATAGTCTATAATTCAAAGCTGGGTTGACCGGCTCGGCCGTGGATTGCGTTACCTGTACTTCTAGCTTCTGTCGCTAAAATGCCTTGTATTGGGAATACGACGACATGAGTCAATGCACTTGGCATTCTCCTGTTGGTTTGTGGGGTGCGGGATATATCCACCCCGATTTCCAAGCGAGTCTTGGCTGCCAAGCATACAGATCGATATAGAACGGACCCTCATACATAAATCAAATCTGGATTCCCAGAGTGCATGTATCAATCAGCAGCTTGGTCGGCCTTCCCTCTCAAAGTCTCATTACAATGTCATCCGTTAGCGTTCTTGGTCTCGGGGCTACGGGAACAGCCCTGGCCGCTCGATTTCTCGAAGAGGAATACGAAGTCGCTGTATGGAATCGATCTCCAGAAAAAGCAGGCCCTTTGCTCGACAAGGGCGCAAATCTTGCCCAGACAGTGGTGGATGGAATCAAAACAAGCGATCTGATCATTATCTGCCTCCTCGACAACGCTGCTGTCCAAACAACCCTCGCCGGCGCCCTTGACCAACTCCAAGGCAAGACATTTGTCAATCTAACAAATGGAACACCTGACCAAGCCCGCAAGCTGTCAGACCTGGTCGTTGGCCACGGTGCTCGATACGTCCACGGCGGAATTATGGCTACTCCTTCTATGATTGGTTCACCTTGTGCTCTGATTCTGTACAGCGGGTCACAACAAGCATATAAGGCCGACGAACCCGATTTGTTGGTGCTAGCTAAGTGTATCTTCCTTAGTGAGGATGCGGGCGCTGCATCCCTGCATGACCTGGCTCTACTTAGCGGTATGTATGGTCTCTTCTCTGGCTTCCTGCATGCAACTGCGCTCGTGAGGTCGAGCACCTCCGCCGTTAAGTTCACGGACCTCTTGGTTCCCTGGCTGGGAGCAATGACCGAGTACACCAAAGCGATGGCAAAGCAGATTGACGAGGGAAAGTATGCCAGTGAGGGATCGAATATCGCTATGCAATTAGTTGCTATCCAGAATATTATTGATGCCAGTGCGGCCCAGCAAGTCTCCGCTGATTTCATTCGTCCGATGAAGCAACTGATGGAGAAGGCAGTGACGGCTGGTCATAGCGGTGATGATATTTCTGCTTTGATTGATTTTGCGAAGGCATCATGACTTGATTTTGTATGTACTACTTCTTGCCCTTGCTGGAAAATTGGGACTGCCGAACAACCGCATGTTCTTGCGTATGTTAATAGAACGCTCTCTACACTTTGCCAGTTTGGTCAATTGTAATGTATTCAGGCTTTTCTTGCTGCTTATCATGTGTGCAATAATGTTACTCCTCCATGAATTCAGGTTTCGCGCCATTTTGCAACGCTTTAAGGGTTGATTATTTGCCGAGTGAGGATGTTTGAGCATACATAGTTTTGGATCGGCATTAATACACAACATTACAGGTCTCGTGCGTTTATATTTACCATCAAAACCGAAACATGATCCAAAGTACGGGAGTAATCATATCTGGATTGAATGGGATTAGTCTTAGTTTTGCTAGCCTAGTTAACCCGGTTTTAAATCGTACATGGGTTTGTATCGATATGTAGAGTGGTCCATTTTTAGAAGCTTTCAGCCATGGGGGGGGGGGGTCCCCAATTTTTGCGTGCCATATTTGGCCAATCTCTGAATGGGTGGCAACTAGGCTTTGGGTATAGATTTTTTGAGTGGCTTCAACTATGTACTAAGTTTCCTCCCCTGCAGGCGAAGAGCCAGATTCACTTCACAGGTATCGTATACGTGAGGTACAGAAATAAGGTTGACTATCATTTTTGAGCTACACAGCGCAAGGATTCCATGCTACATTGGTAAGTCTGGAATAGGCGATGTAAAGAGCACGTGCATGGACTTGATTACGACTGAGATAATCCTTCACATCAATTCTTTTATTTCCACCTGAAACTCAATTTTGGGAAGTAAGAAAACTTCAGTACGCACAAAAATGGCAGAAGAGAGCGATTCCAATTCTAGACCATGCCAGGTTTTGAAGCTGGATCTCTTCATTGAACAGCAATAAAACCCGTCAATGTAAACATGTCGACTGCACATTCAGTCAGTTCACACAACAGACTTTAGCATAGATGTACATCTTTTCACTTTTTGTCTCTCTCTGGCTTGTCCAGAGAGTAACTGCCGACTCATTCTACGGGGGATATTCTCAGTCGACCAAGTACTGCGGAATCGTGAATGTTGGTAATGACAAGTCTAACCCCGGTATTTATTGCCAGTGCCTTTTCTCCGGCGAATACTTGGACTGCGATGCCAAATTTGGGAGCTTTCTTGTCAATGACCAGGGGCAGTTGAAATTTGGAGCTAAGTATGTACAATCTTGAATGTTGGGAATTTGAAAGAAACACTAACAAGTCATGCGTTAAGCGGCGCTGCACAACATTCCTGCCACGGCTGGAGTCTGTTTGACACTATACTCGCGGCAAACTGCAGCGGACCAACAATAACAATGGTGAACTTGGGTGGGTTCGCGTGATACCATTTTTCCAGCTCTGTAAAGTTGCTGACTATACTCTAGATGAGATGTGCGGGACCGCAAACGGTAAGTTGATGTGTGGAGAACAGCAAGATAGTCAAGGCTCGGAGACCTCATCTCTCGCTACTCCCACCGCTTCATCAGGAGTTGAGTCGACACCAGCATCCACCTTTACTACAAGTCCAGCGCCGAAATCCACTTCTCCAGTGAATCTGAATGATCAGACAACCTCCGTGGTGCAGACTCCAATCTCATCCCCGAGTATCGATGACAGCCAGGCCTCTCAGTCTACAACGATCAGTACAGAGCCTAGCGCGACCGCTTCCGCTGATACCACAAATACTTGTGGGTCAGTACAAAAGCGTACTCTACAGCAGATGAGAATTATGGGCCGCTGAGAGGCTGTTATGAAAGAGTGAGAATACTCATGATAACTGATCCAAGGGTGAAGGTAGCCGCCTCTGTGGAATGCATTTCAATACACTTTGTTTCTAGTGGTCTTCTTATATAGAAATGTTAAGATAAAGTCAGGTGTCCTCTTTTTCCCACTTCGGTTGAACGGTGTTGTAGGTAATTTGGGACATGGGCATTCGGATCTTTTTGACGTATTGTGCTCACTGAATATACAGTCCGGGTCTCCATGTTAGATCACGGCTGGGCGATACTCAGATTCCAAGAATGATCCTGCAGCTTAGGGCAAGAGTGAACAACAGGCTCTGCCGCTTGTCTAACCAAACCAAGCTACAATTGCCAGTATCACGTAGAGCCCGATGAGCAGGACACCCGCAAACCAATTAGATTTCCCGTGCGTAATTGCAAAGGTGACCAACAGAAAAGCCAAAAAAAGCACGGTTACTTGGACCACATCAAAGTTAAGGGTCTGCAAGGAAGCAAGGTCAGCGCTGATCGAGACATTATATCACAAAAAGATTTCTGAACCGGTTCAAGCTCAACCTACCATATCATCAACTCCAATGATCCATCCCAATATCACAATCAGCGGGAGAACCAGTAATGCGATCTGTATACTCGAGCCAACTGCCACACCTACTGCCAAATCCATTTTGTCTTTGTATGCGACCGTGACCGCCGTAGCATGCTCCGCCGCATTACCAACAATTGGCAACAAGATCAGACCGACAAAGGTCTCACTGACGTGCCCGGTCGCGGTGAGCGCGTCAATCGAGTCAACCATGAATTCGGCACACAAGGCCACCAGAACCGTCGAAGCAACTAGCGTCCCGATAGCGACTTCAACCAACAACTGTGGCTGCTCCGGCTCATATTGTGTGTACTGCACGTTGATATGTTGAGCCTGTGAGCCGCCCAGGGCTCTGGCCATGGCAGCTCCAATCTCTGCGATGCCAACCCCAGCCTCGCCGGCTTTTCTACTGCGCTTCGCAACCTTCTTCGACGGCTCGTTGAACAGGTCTGCATGGGATTTAAGTTGAAAGAAAAGATAAACGGGGTAAACGATGAGAAGGAGGACAGATATTCCTGGAATGTGAACATCAGCACTCCGGCTTCAAAAACTGAGGCTTGGTCATGTAGTCATGAGAACATACCTCGCGACACAGAAGATGTCGTCACAGAAGATGTCGTCACAGAAGATGTCGTCACAGAAGATGTCGTCTTTGCGTGGTCGGTATTCGACCGCCAATACAGTGCGGTAGGAACCATTACACTGGCCATAGCCAACGCCAACAGACAAATTGCTGTCTGCGCAACGACGAGGTTGAAATGCTGCTCAACGCGATTCATACCGCCAAAGAAGAAACACATGCCCATTACCAGCAACAAATTTGACAGCATGCTCCCAATCAACGAGGTCTGTACGATGACGACTTCGTGCTTGACCAATGCAAGGATGGCGACTATCAATTCGACCGCATTACCGAACGATGCATTCAGCAACCCACCAATCGTCTCACCGGTTCGCATAGCAATTTCCTCGGTCGCATAACTCAGCATTGCAGCAAGCGGGATGATTGCAATAAAGTTAGTCACGAAGATCACGATCGGATTCGCTTTTGTCGCGTGTAGCGCGATACCCACAGGTGCTGCGACAAGGAGAACATTAATCCAAGAATTGAACAGTGTCGCGCGGATTTGACTCCCAAAAGAGAATTTGGGGCCATCAAGGTCCTTCCCACCGCCAACCCCCGATGACTGAAACACTTCGCCGGCAGATCCCAAAATTCCATCGAAATCTCCTTGTTGGCGGCATTGGGTCTCAGCGTCCTGAGTTATCTCACCCTCTGCCTGCGCTATGGAGACGTCCGTCTCGCAGTTGATGGATCTTTTGAGAGAATTTCTTCCTGCCTTCAAGCTGCCGGTCCCCTCGGCTGGAAATGTGTATGCATGGGCGGGTCTCGGAAAGTCACCATCCAAGCCGGCTTGCTGAGTAGGCTCATCTGGGAGGCGGAGGTCGCCCATGCTCCGTGAGCGCGGGAATTGCTCTCCTAGTTCGACGGAGATGATGGGGCCTCGTACGTATCTCTTGAAGGGATTATATGTGGAACGTGTGCCATCCTGGTCGTACCATGCCAGTTTGTGTGCCTGGCGAAGATAGCGGTCTATGGATATTTGTCAGTTTGGAGGACGAACAATGTGGGCCCAATATTCGAAATAAGGGTAGCATCCAGCGAGTGGAAAGACAACAAAACAGCGTGGGACGTACGCATTTTGATAGACTTAGGGTAGGAGTTATCTTCTAGATTGAACAAGAAAATGAGCTTCCGGATACCTGAGATGGCTATCGGAATCTAATGTGATCACAATTGAGTATCAAAGAGTGAAGGTAGGTAGATTTATAGAACATCCTTGAAGCCATAGGAAGCTGATAAGTGAGGCAGAGCCTCCTCGCGGATTCAGCCTTGACAGCCATATAGTTGTGAGGGTTTCAAAGCCGTCCAGCCACACTACCTTGCAAGGCAGATGTGAGTGGGGAGGGCTGAGTCGAACTGCAGATGCTGCAGCCCGAATGGCGTAGGTCAGGCAGATAGGTGGCGGTCGTCAGCCAGGCCATAGTCCAAGGCAGACAGTGGGGGTCAGGGAGTGGGTGCCTGTCCGGTTTCTTAGTCCAGTTCAGCAGTCCTGATCTAACCGAAAACCGTGCAGAAAAGGAAGCGGTGCAAGCGGGGAGGGGTCTCAGCCAAGGGGAGGGTAGCCGGGCGTAGTAGTGCTTTCATTTCAGAGAATGGTGCCTCTTTCATGCCCTTGAGGACAGCCCTTCAACTCAGATCACTCCCTGCTCAGATTTCAGTCTTACATTTGCCGTGTTCATCAACAAAGAGTCGGTAGGCACAAGCACTATCACTCTTCACCAGCAACCTGAATCATATGTATTGTGATCAGATGGCCTAACAGCTGGGAATATTTCCGTTGTTCGTTGCCTATCTTGATTTCCTCAAACAGTTCCAGTTTCGGTTATGTGGTCTTAAACCATCGAGTGGAAATGCAAACAACACGCCGACATCGGGTCCATTCTGACAGCTTATACTCTTTGTGTAAGTTATCGGCCTCGTCCTATGGCCTTTGGGCACACAGCCCCAAAAATAGATGGTCTGGAGACTAAGATAGTGGCGCAAGCAAAAGCCCCTCTTTCTTCAGGCCAGGTAGGGGCACGCAAACTGCCTAGGAAGAAAAATATAGAGATCACATCTGGATTCACATTCAATCCTTCGTCGTTACTGACTTTCTCATTTCTAAGAGCTACAAATGCCATCAAACTAAAGACCGGCGTGTTTCAGAGATACTGAAACAAAAGGTCTTTGCCGAAATTTGACAAAGATGTCCACTGAAAATCTACAGCCACCACATGCGCAAGCCCATCCAACCAAGCCATGGTTGACCTAGCAAGAGTCTAACAAGTAAAATGGATTATTGAAGTACAAGTCGTAGGCCGCGAGTGAGTAGCCATCAGCAAAAGTTTACAAGGATGACGATGGGCAGCAGAGCACGTGCAGTGGCACATACACAGGACAGGCAACAAGAACCTGACTGGGTTCGGGACGAGACAGATCGTACCACGAGCAAAGAAACATAGAGCACTGGTTTTACATCGAAAGGATACTGTAGCAGTGGTGAAGTCAGTCTAGGAATCAGGAACCAAGGAGTAAAAGCATAATTGATTCTCCGAAGGCCTTTTTCATATATCAATAATCTAATTCCGACTGGCTCATCCTCTTCACTCTATCTAGCATAATAACCAAAAATACTGGCCGCTCTCTCCTGCCGATAATTTGCCAGGGTTAATGACTGGCATGACATTGTGACTCGCCCTTTCCGAGTTCCAATTTACCAAGCTTGGTCATTTGTTGATCAGATCAGGCTCAATGCTTGATGTACTACAGCAGAGTCGTTTCAAATCGTTTCACACTGAGGCTGAGGTGATTGAGTTTGCAGCCGCTTGGTTCCCCAGTGCGGAGATGGCCCATCGCTTTGTAAAGCCAGATGCTACCGCGATTTCCCTTCGTCGACGGTACGTTCTCAAGAAAGGCCTTGTGTTGAAGGGACTCCGCACAATGGCACCAGCTTGAGTGCTCAACCTTGGAGCTTGCTGTGCTGGAGGATCAAAAAGAAACTCCTCCAGGAAATCATTAAGGGTCTTGCGGAACTCGCGAGACTCTTTGAATTGCGGAACATAGTGGACACCAGAAAACTCAAAAATTCGCGCAAACTGACAGTGTTTGGCAAGACTATGAGAGTCCTCCGCTGTAATGACCGTGTCGTAGGATCCAATCGCTAATAATATTGGCGTACGGATCGTAGGTTCATAGAACTTGTCATAAATAGGTCCTAGCCGGAATCCGCTGAGACAAATCGCGAAACGAAGTGCCGAATGCTCTGTCTGTTTTGAGATTTTTCATAAGTGTGCTGCCATACACCATTGAAGACCGACAAGGGAAGGTAAACATACAACCCATGGCTGATCGTTGAACATGCTTCTCTTCTCAAGATGCGATGCAATAATAGCGGCCATTGCAGCTCCGGATGAGAACCCAACAATGCCTACAAATGGACCTTTTTGGTGTAAAGTCGCAAGGATATGCTGAGTGGACAGCTCGATGTTTGTAATCTCACCGTCACTCGGATCCCCATACCCCCATACCCACTTCTCGTGACCATCAGGTTGATCAGGGCGCGCAGGCAATATTCCCGACAGATATTTGAATTCGAATACGACTTCATTCTCTTGCGCAAAGGAATGGAATGCCGCTTCAATATACCTAGCCTTGGGCTTAAATATTTGTTCCGATTGGTCATGCCCTAGTCCATGGTCAGTCACTACTCAGTCCCTTGGACCGCCTCGAACCAAGTAATCCTCTCACTGACCATGCAACATCAGGATTTTCATCACTTGATCAGGCATACTGATGAAGAAACTGGAAGGCGATATATTCAAAACTGGGTAATGAGGGAACTCCGGTGGCCGAGATTATAAGGCGTTCTCCAGTCACCTACGATGATCAAAGTGATTCTGGTTTGCCTTTAAATATATTTATGTGGCTGCTCGGCTACTAGGTGCCCACTGGAGGGACTAGACAGAATTATTTAATGAATATTCAGAGTGATTCCCGAGCAGACAATAAAGTGGGTCAGTGAGAATTGCAACGCTGCGCTCTGGGTCTTCTGGATCATATCGATTGTGATTACTTTATGAGATGCAAAGGGTGATCGAAGTCTGGTTCGGGATTTAACTACGACAAATTGTCAAGTTTAGGTAACTATACTTTCTGTAAGATGTCACGGACTCAATCAGCAATTACTCTACACAGAAAGATACGGCTGTACTATAAAGAGATACGTTGGTATCGTCTACAAGAAGTTCCACTCTCTGCTTTGAAGCTCGAATGCAGCCGGCTGTGTGGAACAGTCTGTGTGGGTATAGGCTCATCAAAGTTTATGCGTCGAAGTCTTCCTCAGAATGTATGTATTATTCTCGTTTTATTTATCATAGAATGAGAATCCTCTTTGCTCCAACTTTTGCATAGCTGATGCATACCGTGTTGAAGGCTAGAGAGATCGCAACTTGGGGCAAAAATTGGGACTCTCATTCAGCGGATGCCTCATCGCTTGCCCAGGTAGGAATAAGATTATTTCTCTTGAGGAAAAAGCCCCGTTCTTTCGAAACAACGCGTGGGTTTACCCTAGCATGTTAAAAAATCCCGGCAAGTAGCCCTTGACGTAGAGATGAGATAAATTCATTCTTCCAAAACATTGTTAATTCACTGCCACACATTCCTTTATGAACAAGCTGACGAAGTTGTGGTGGCTGAAACTGTAGAACGGACTATACTTGTCCCCTGGTTTAGAGCAGAAGGTGAGTGCCTGGGTGGCTGACTTGAAGTGGAGACTGGAATCGGGGACGGAAGGACGCCTTCGAAGCTGAGCAACGTCTCGTCAAGTATTTCAAATTCGATATGGGTATAACCATCATGACAAGCTTCATTGCCTGTGATCTGATCATGAGCCCATTTACTAAGGTCAACACCTGAAGTGCCGTTGGGGTTCCATGTGTCTCCCGAAGTAGAGCCGACACTGCACCGTTCACAACCATCTGCGATAAAAAGGCCGAGATCGAACCTTCTACCGTTTTTGTAGATTATGACCCTTTTACCGCAGTAACGGGATGGGTTGGCCCGCAGCTGAGTAACGTTCATCGCGACGATATGATTAGTTGCCAGATCGTTCAGGGTTAGTAACGGATTGCTACAGGTGACCCCGCCTTTGTTTTGGTTCTCGAAAGAGGTATCACAAGCCCTTACATTCTCAACGTCATAATAGTACGTAGCGAAACCGGGTCGTTTTGCTAGGATAATATCAGATCCAGCAGAAGCCTCCGTTACCACTAGAATGCCTACGATGGCAATAAGAAAAATCCACATCACAATAAGATATCAGTTGTTACCTCGGTCGTCTTAGATGGTAGATTATGAGTTAATGACAAGCACCAAGACCTGGAGTACTGATAATTGCAAGATTTCACAATATATGCAAGGGCTCAATTTGAATGTGAAGTTGGCAGACCCAATTATGTCCAGTGAACGAATTTTGTCAGGCTTGTGCCGCCCGTTATTAGCTTTGATATCTGAAAATAGGTATACTCTTTTAAACCCCAATGACAGGACGAAAGCGGTTGACCAAGACCCTAAGTTCCGAAGAAATGACGCGTCCAGATTCGGCTCTGCTTCCATTGACGCTTAAGACTCTTTCAGCTACCGAATTCTTATGAATGACAGAACACTACCACAACTCTTTGTTTTCTCAGGAAAAGCCAGCCGAGGGCTCTGTATCTCCCTCCAATTGGATAAAATTCTGTTCAAATACACGACGACTACGGTACCAAGTTATACTGTAGGGATGAAAACAATCAGTTTCCAAGTCTCGGAAATGACCGCTCGTCCCGCTATATTGTTCTTGTTCCTTCTGGTTCCAAACCAACAATCTGTGTTGCCGTCTTTTACTAGGCTTGAAAGCTGATATCATGCATTCGTTGGGCAAGCGTTGATTCTATCTCATCGCAATGTAATGCCGAACAATGCTTTCAACAAAAGAAATTAGAAGAACAAAAAAAAAGTATCACGGAGACTCGTCTACATAGGTGATCAAACTGTCTTCATGTTGTTTCTAAGCTGAGTAACGTGTGATGTGCCGGATCGCCTTACAGATACCTGCAACACATATGGAGATAGATTCATCAAATGGAATTATTATCATATGGAAATATGTGTGTATTATCCTCTGCCTCTCCAGTTGAATGCTATGAATTCCCAAGTCAATAATACATCGGGTTGATCAAGAGGTGGCTGCGCAAATAGCCATCAACCGGAATAGAGGATAAACTGCGGAACAAGAATCATTTTTAGCTCCAGGGTTACAGTGTCAATAATGTCTAATCTTAGAAGGCTAACAACTTCAGGCAGTTGTATTGACCGAAGTACTGACATTGATATTCACTTTGCTTCGTGAAAGTCTTGTCTCTGAGGTTTGATTCTGAATACTTCAGGCGATCTGGCTCGTGCATCTGTTACGACAGGTGTTACCACAGATTGTCACAGCTTTGTCACGATCACTACCGTAATGTAATTAGGTGTTGCAGAAATACTTTACTTCTGGAGTCCAAATTTGGCTTTCCTGTCTTTACTTAGTGACACTTTTGAATTCGTTATCTCACGTTACGGCACGGCCTCCGCTGATGATCCTTCCCAATGTACAGTACTAACGTGCGTCCCACCGCAACCGTGTCCCCTCGTACCCGCTCGGGATTGAGGTACTTTTGGAAAACAATGCCAGAGAAATTGAGCAACTGATGGCAGATCATTCAGCTTGATTTAAAATAAAGATTTAATATCTCCATTATAGACTGTTCAATTTTCACCCCAAAATTACGTTGATCTTTTGGCGTATTTCATCGCAAATAAACTTCTGTTGCTAACAAGGTTTCTGTGGCAAACTGTGCTCAGCTTCCATGGTACCCAAGCAGCTGTTGTTTACGAAATTAAGGTTATTAATTCTGAGTAAACAGATACCTCCGATCAATAATTACTAGAATTATATACTCTATACATTGTCCACATCTGAAATAATTTTACTCTTTGTTCGCACAAGAAATTTTTAAGGTACATGGTCTGCTTATTAAGGACGGTTTATGTACAGCCATTACATCCAAAGCGTACTGAGCATGTACTGTAAGGAATTCTAATTTTAGAGATTCCTGCCCACGTGCTTCTCGGGCCGGCTCGTGAGGAGTACAAGGCGCTTTCGCGCCTTACTTTTGATTGCAGTCACGGGTAACAGGACGGTAAAATACGGGAAAAATGGCGGTCAGAAAATGACCGCCCGCTAGCCTGGGCTAAATCCCCAGTCTCAGGCAAATTAAATCTCAGTCTCGAGACTGAGAAATTACCGTTTACGGTTAGTTGGTCATGTGATATGACAACGCATAGGTGCAACTGCGTGTTGCTGCGACTATTATAAATACGTAGGATTTCCCAGGGTGGGTTCCTTTGGTTCAAATTCTGAAGACAAGTTATGGGTTCGTCCAGAAGCCATAGTCTACATCACGCCAGTGGGCGTGATGAGACTACGATTGATCACAATGCGGCGTATGAACGCATTGTTGGGAGAGTTCGGGACGATCCTTTGTTAACGGAAATGGCTCCTTCGGAGGCGGATTATGAAAAATTGGCGTCTTATATGACGTCGATGAGTTTTTTAGGATTCATTCCTGAGCATCGTGAACGATGCAAGGGTGAAGAGTTTACTCGGTTGTATCGAATTGTTTCGGTTGCGTTTGCGCAGGCGCGAAGTAAGTTTGTTGATTATCTGTTGGATGATTATTCTAATGGTCTACAGTATGCCGATGGCGGCGAGTGAGAAGTGTAGCGGAGTCGGAGAGGACTGAGTCTGAGAAGAAGTTTTACAGGCAACTTGTGTCTAAGTTTGGATGTGAGGCCGATGTTTTGGAAGGTATTTCCAAAGGTCTTGATTTACTAGAGACGCACGGTTACACGTGGTAGGGCATTTTATGGAGATTTTGTATGTAATGGGTTGGTAAAACAGGGAAAGGGGGAAGCTCGCTCTGGAGGCAACACGACTGACCCCGACAAGCACGTGGCCAGATATCTCTAAAATTAGAATTCCTTACATTACACACCCAGTACGCTTTGTATGTAATGGGTTATACAAAACAATCCTTAATAAGCAAAGCAGGTACCCCAAGAACCCCAGGTGTTGATCAATCAATAAAATTTTTCATATGCGGACAATGTAAAGTGTATGTAGATAGTGATCGGAGGAATCAGATTACCAAGATTTATATGTTCATTTTCGTGAACAGCGGTAGGTTGGGGACCATGGAAGCTTAGCACAATTTGCCACGTAAACCTTGTTAGCGAAGGGAACGAAATTTGCAGTGAAATAATCCAACAGATCAACGTAATTTTGAATGAAACTTGAACCGATGTTTATTGAAGGTTATGGAATCTTATTTACAACTGAGCTTAAATGTCTCACAGAAGCTGGTCGACTATGCCGGCGTTGTGTAGCGAAGTACCTCAATCTTGAGCGGGTTCGAGGGGACACGGCTGCGGGGGGATGCACGTTACGTCTCCAAAGCGTGGTGTCGCGAGTTTGTCTTCGACTCGCACCAACTACCTGGCATCTGGCGTGGCCAATGCGCTTAACAGGGCTTTACGGACTTGACAGTTCGTGTAGTCGGTGGGAAGGTATCGGCTGCAAGCGTGTCGGTATTGCATCCCAGTTGGTGCCACCGGGAGGTGTGGAGGCTTAATGAGGAACTGATGGAGAATCATCCACCGCAAAACCGCACTCTTCAATGCCGAGCTACAGGGGGTCAAACACGAGCAGAAGCAGAATCTCCACAAGAAATCAAACCCTTTAGAGCACACCAGCGCCGTCAACGGATCGTGGGTGGTGGTCGCACCCAACCTGGCCAACCCAAACCCATTGCACAGCCACTATTGCGCCGATGACACGAAAATTATAGCCTGTGCAGACACAGATAATAATTGAATAATAATAATAGAAATTACTCTAGTTACGAGCCTCGGATGCGAGTGAGCTGGACCAAAGGGTTGGAGGCTGCAGCCTTAGCCCAAGACTTCCCATTCTTTATTTTCCCGCTCTTCAGGTTACTTGGCTTCGCCAGAGTTTGTTGGTCGTGCCTCGACATTCTGCAGGACATTGAACAATATATCTTTCCTTCTCTTCCTGCTGCCACAAGAATACTCCGACCGATTTGCTCATACCGCACATCGGAAATGGGCTTGGTCTATATCTTGACCTTTTTGGTCATTCTTATCGTTTCCTATACTCTACATGAATCAACATATCATTTCGAACGTGTGGTTGCGAGGGCTATCTTGCCAGATTGTTTCGGAGCTCGATGGTCGCCACGTCCACATCTTTGGGATCTCGACATGAACAAAGAGCGGCAACCAATCCTCCTCACTTTAAAATCCCCCTTTTCATCATTCAAAGTCTACTATCTACCTCCATTAGTGGCATCCGACCGTCACCAAGTGATTGTGGGATTCCCAGGAAACAAGAACAATGTCGGAGCATTAATGGAAAGTTTCTGGTCTTACCATGGAGATGAAGTTCACATGATACTGGTCAACACTCCCGGTTATGGGAGTTTCGATGAAGACCGCTCAGAGCCAATGACCGACAAGCACCACCGTCTCTTAGAGCCATGGCTGAGGGCCATTGTTCAAACTTTGCAACGAGAATTGTTGAGTCCATCTGAGATTCAATGGGCCGAATTTGACCCTCGTGCAGTCATAAAAGAAAACGGTCAGATCCAAATCAAGTCACTCAGAATAGGAGATCTTCCAAAGTCCTTCAATGATTTCGACATTGCGCCGGTAGGCAGATCTTTCGGCGTTTTTGCGGCCTCTATAACGCGCCCACGGGGAGGACTGATTGGCTATACGCCTTTCCAAGGAATTGCAAAGCTGGACTTGGCTGGATGGTGGGGGATCCTTTGGCGCTGGGCTAGACATCGCAATCCGTTTCCAAATTGCGGCAAGCGCGTCATTCTTGATGACCCATCGATCAAACTCACCGATGAGCAACGTCGTTTTATTGAAGATTATGACGGGGAAGTGTTCACGGGATTGATGTCAGAGCTGGTCCCAGACCCTACCAAAGGTGAAGCTTCCCTACTGATCGTTGCGACCAAAGAGAATGTCGTTGGTTCGGTCGAGATGTCTATTCGCAAGGCTCCGGGTGTTACGGTAATCGAACGCAAAGGAAATCACCGCCTTCGAGCAGATAAGGATTACCGGGAATCAGTGAAAAAGTATCTCACCGAGAGCTGGAAAGCTCACCAGGAACGATGGACGAGGCGCATGCCGCCGGTGGAGGTTTGCGGCGATGATCAGTCTCAATGGTCTCCTTTCATCATCCCCTCTTGTCAGCCCCCCTCGTCTTGATCGTCACGAGCTTTGTCTTTGTTTTTTTATTATTTTTCCTTCGTTTATCGTTTGTCGGGAATCTTTGTACTCTATTCATTTCGATAGTAGCTCAACTGCAACTGCTTAGGTGGTTAGGCTCCACGGTGCTCATTCAGTCCACAATAATCCTTTAATCAGACCGCTAATGCATTTTACAGTGTCATTCCTGCCGCGTTCTAGAGCTAGAAGAATAGAACAACCTATTTTCAAAATCTTAAACATCTATTGAAAGTGTACGGTACCGGCTGTTGAATAATGATCTGGATCTCGACCGCGCTATCTGGAAAGGGTCTGATATTGATATCAGCGTCCGATGACAGGGTGGACGGATGGACGGATAACCCATTTACCCACACACCTCGCGGAAGCGTTAGTTCGATCGACTGCCTCAGCATGCGCAATCGATGAAGACGGATTTTCGATTCATCTTCACCGCCAAGATCATTGTAAAGCCTGACATCACTAACGACAAAAGTGGCATCTGAAATCATCTGGGGCTCCTGCTGCAACCATTACTCAACTTTTATTACCGCAGCGATTCTCCGTGGTCTTCGACGACTCGGTTGTAAAGATCTCTGGTACTTTGCAAGGAATCCTCTGGAGTTTTGGCCATTTCCGCTACCTGTGTGATCATTTGCTATCAAGGATCTTTGTACACTCCCTGCGATGCTGGAGCGAGAAATGATTCCTTTCCAGCAGTGTTATTCTATCCTGGTTGACGGATGTTTGCGCCGCCACCCCTGAACAACTCGATGTATTATGAACCCAACCTCTGTGAACCGATTAAATATTCATGATCTAAGAGGCACTCTACTTACCGATAGTCAAGTTCAAATCGGAATCGCAGTCTACGAAATGCGTATTCATAGCCTAAGGGCCTGAGATAGTTGCGGGGTGGCGGCCGCAGAGGTAGTCTGTAATCTCACTCTATTTAACGCAACATCCAGTTCGATAGCTTCATCACGATATAAATTGATAATAATTGGACGCTTTTCTGAGAGGCATACAGAAATCCTTATTGGGTATTATGCAAGCTGTTAAATGCCATTGGGTGCGGACTGTCCCCACAATCCTACTTCAAAACTATAAAGAGAGATGATTTCTACAAGTCGTGCTATCGGGACCATCTCTTTAAACCTTTTATTGCTTGCGACCTGTCCCTTCTCTGCTGCTCTTCAGCCTGTTCCGAATTTTGACTTCCTAGCCTCTCAGAATTCATATTTTCTCTACCTGTCCCCAGACACTAGTTTTCTGCACATCCTCATCAATTTACGAAGTTCACTCTCATAAAGCCGGACCCACGACCAGAATCTGTGAGTTCTCACCAATACGAGTGGTACCACTAATTTCCTCCTTGTATGACTGACACGAGTAAGCATCATGGTTCCAGAAACGACACCTGATGCCACGCACCGTGTTGTGGAGGCCGAGAGAATTACCGATAGGCTTCAGCGGCTTTACAAATGGTTCTTTTTTCTCGCAGCTCTTCTGGGTGTTCTGGCCGTAAATGCCTTGACATTTCCTGAGTTTCATCCGGCCCAAAACGCGCCGGCTCAACTATCCCACGGGCTTCTGTGTAGCGCGCTTGTGACAAGCATCATATCAGTGGTTATCCTGTTGATGCTGCTTTTTGAATTTGATGAGACGGCATCTCCTCCACGAAGCGGACTCCATGTTGCAAGTGTATGGACCCCGGTGGTCCTCTTGGACATGGCTTGCGTCGAGCTTTTGGTTGGTATAGCTTCCTGGTACTGTAGTAGTAGCCCGCGGTGGGCTGGAGAGATGCTTGCAGGATATTTGGTTGTGTTGCTTTGCGTCTGTATTGCTCTTTCTCTGTCAATTGCGTGCAATTGGTCCGTGATGAACAAAACTTATGTCCGTAAAGGAGACTGAGAGGCATCTACTAAGAGATCCTTGAACTCGACGCTTGTGGAATGCAGACCGTCGCAGGAAATTATCATTCACAAAAGGATGTATAGGAATGTGAATATGACTCAAATCAGGAAACATGCGTGCAAAATACATTCGCCCTTATACCGTTCTTTGCTAATTCCACCTTCGAAATATTTGCCTATCTGTTTTCGATAAGTTGTATTTAGAGACGTAAACTTAGCTCTCTTATTTTCATCCTTTTACCAGATATGCCAGCTGGACACCTTTCTCATGGGCGGTTTGAACGACTACGGGGCAGTAAACAAGCCACTTCATGAACAGCTGGCGTTGTTCCAAGGTCTAGAACATCAGCAAAAGAGGCTCCATTGATTCGTGCAATGTAGAATGGCCGTAATGATATAGTCAAACTACTCCTCGGAGCAAGTGAAGTCAAATTAGACTCTTTACATTGACTTGATGGAAAGAAGCCGTTATGTCTACCAGCGCATAGAACGCATGATGAGGTAGTGAAGTGGCTGACCGTGACTGATGGCATTAATATGTCCGCCAGGAATCTTCAGGGACAGACACCGCTGTCTCTAGCTACTGGGAATGATCAAGAGGACATGGTAGGGCATGGGCTCACATTAGATCTTCCATGAAATCAAATGGATTTCACAGCTTTTCGAACACTACTACGGATTTGGAATGGGGTTCGTCATACAAAAAGCCAGGTCCCTACATCTGTATTCTAAGTCTACCGATGGGGATAAAAAAGGTATAGGGGTGAGGTGGGCAGTGCCACCATACACATTTCTTGAATCAGGCAGCATCCAGGGTCATTCTTGGCTTATCAATTAGCTTAAAACTTCATATAAATGAGGATATTGATAGGGAGAAATCATTCAGCCAATAAATAAACTCCGTGACTATGGCTTCCGAAGTGGATTCGAGGAGGGAGGAGCGAATTTCACAGTAACTATTTACAGTAAAATCCATCAAACATTCCTGCGCTTAGAAGATCAGGCACCACAAACTTCGCGGTCGAAGTTCCTACGACGAAAGGCGCCTCTATTTCGTTAGATTACCGAAAGCTTTACGACACTCTTGGCTACTAGGCATAAATGTTGTACCAGTAGATATTGGCCAATCTACAAATCCGAGTGCTGACGAACGGGAGGCGTTTATCGCAGCAAACATTATCGGTCTCCTCGAAAGTACACCGGATATAAAGCTTGCTATACTGTTTGGAGAATTTCACCTAACAGGATTGCCCTTCAAGTTTCCTTCTCGTCGTTAAATATTATAATCGACTATACTAACGTATACATTCCGGCATCATGAGCGGAATACCGAGTAGTTGGACACCTATGACACATCGTAGGTGCAATACAGTACCACTTAACATCTCAACAACCAAAACACATCATAACGAGATATTAAGATATATAATCAAGATCGTATTCCCCATCTACTGGCGAATGGCATGACAATGCAATGCTTTCTGGCACGTTAGTGAATCCTGACTATGAACTGGCTCTAAGCAATATCAGCAAAAAAGCTGGTCTGGTTGACTCGCTTCGCAATATCGATAGTAGCGTCTGCGTAGTTCACGTGCTCTGCGGTCTCTGTGCGTCTAGCGATGTCAATCGAGGTCGTGGCGTCCTCAGCACGAAGAACCAGCCGCACCGCCAAAACAGCTAAGCCGAAGCTGAAATGAGAGCGCGTAGCAGCATTGTAGTCTTCAGCACGTTGACCACAGGAACCCCTATTTGATCAGAAATGTGTCACTTATAGCGCATCACTCCAAGTCTGTCCAAAGCAAGACAACTTGTCACCTTTGAACGATATAACTCCCTCTGTTTCAGCAGTCAGCACAACCCGAAAATTGTGTCCCAGTGGGATAAATTGGCGATATAGAGACCATACATACCCATATCGGTTGATGTCAGCTGATTATTAGGTTTGCAAGTTGCTTGAAGCATTGGCGGCCGGGGGCGGCTTCGCCCATGTCGCACGAGCCCTTAATCCCGTCACGATTGGATAGGAACCCACCACTATGTAGGATCGGTTAGAACACTAGGCAGCCAGTGATAGATTCGTTCATTGCATACTTCACGCGCGGGGTCAACTGTCCATTATCATTTGCGAAGCAGTGAGTCAGATGAATGTAGGCTTGCTGCTGTTTACTACCATCGCAATAGCAGGACATTCCCCCATCATTACTAACCGTACACAGGTTCCAATCAAGCTGGCAGTCGGACTGGGTTATGGTGGGGCCAGCCCGGGAGAACAATACGTTTATAGCGAGCAAAGTGATAAAGATCAAGCACATCTTTAATGTTACAGTACCGTTGCAGCAAACAGCTAATCGACTGACAATGGGTAAGTTTAGGGTGATGGGGTGTGGAGGCAAGAGATGCTTATATAGGTTGCACTGTATGCTTGTTTCGTGCCAATTCTGTCCCCCCGGAGGCCCTCTTTGTTCCGTACAGTAACTAGGTTAAACAGTAACTTACGCATGGACGGCTGTGGCGGACACAGAAGTTCAACCCTGGGAAAGGAAACTCTGAGGAAAACACGGGCAGGAAGGGCCAGGCTACCCGAGCCGTGATTGACCAAAAGAGCCAAATTTGGACACCAGAATGGAAGTATTTCCGGACCGCCAGATTACAATTCGGGTATTGATTGTGACGTTCCTGTGACAATCTATCGTAACACCTGCCGTCACAGATACACGAGCCCGGTCGCATGAGCCAAACTTCAGAGCCAAAACTTTCACGAAGTACAGTAGGTAGATATCAATATCTGTATGTAGTTCAATAGTGACTGCCTGGAATTATACGGATAGTAAAAATTAGACATCCAGGACCCCTGTGACGCTGGAGCGAGAAAAGATTCTTGTTCCGCAGTGTATCTTCTATTCCGGTTGACGGCTGTTCGCGAAGCCATCTCTCTATCAACTCGATGTATTATTGACCTCGCAATAGATAGCATTCAATTGAAGAGGCAGAGGATAATCCACACATGTTTTTATACGATAATAATTCTATTTGATGAACTTCTCTCCAATTGTGTTACAGGTACCTGTGAGGCGTTTCGGCACTCCGCCTGATTTCGGCACCTCATTTACACGTTACCTGTAGGAATTTGGCAATTTCGTTGCTCACTGAAGTTGCAGACTAAGTAGAGAATCGAGTACTGTATGATTTTATTCTTTTTCTATTTTCGTATACCCACAATTGTCTGATGACCGAGACATAGGCGCAAAAAATAAATAAGACAACTGTGCGCGCGTTTCCTTTCATATTCTTCCCCAGTTACCCTTCAAACTTTCTTTGCCCCTACCGAAAATGACACGAGATCTCAACCACCTTCAATACTTCTTCGGCCAGGTCGTTGGCGATCCTTTACACCGGACTCAGTGCCTGTGGGCCAAATGTGACAAGATCGTCTCTAAAGCGTCTCGGACGAATGCCGCCATTGTGCTGATGATTCAACGGCGAAACCCGGCTGATTCACTGGAGCACGTTGTTCGTTCGGCGACACGAAGTATGCTCTGCAGGAGTTGTAGGCAGAACTGGAAACGACGCACAGCTTGCACCCGGGACTATCTAGCTTTGTTGTCCGCACGAACTTATCGCGGAGAGCGGACAAAGTCGCAAATACCACCTCAATCCATACACATGTGCTCCTTGCCATGTCGAGATCACGATCCAAGATCCAACTCATGTATATGATCACTGTCACTACAAGATTTACCATGAGACTCGCTGGCATGCGTACGGCGATGTAAAGAAAGCTTGGCGTGGAAAATGGTGGATCGTTCCACACGACAAGCTGCTCTGCGATGTCAGGCTAATCTCGACTGAGATTTGTGACGATCATCATACCAGCAAGGGACAGAATATTAGGAATGTGGAAGACAAGTTGACTCTTTGCTTCTGCATGAAATATCTCCTCGATGCAAAAGCCTCTGTAAAGAAACATCTATTCGTTTCGAGGGACACCACTATCCTGAATCAGAAAATCCATGAAGTGGGGAACTTGGAATTGTCCGTCAACAGGAACGATTAGGAAAGGAACAATGACACTGGTACAACGGTACAACGCAGTAAAAGTTGAGCCTGTCTCAGAATGAGGACTAAAGAAACAGGTCAAACACGGAAAGAGCAATGTGTAGATAAGATGATATCCCATTATGAAATACCCAATCACTTTCCAATTATGGATCATGTCGTTTGATCAACAGAAACCAGCGGGACACGTAGCGTGTTCCAACTCCAGAGTATTGATACCAACCCGTGTTCCCCCTGCCCGCTCAAGATTGAGGTACTTTGGAAGACAACAGCGGCAAAGTTAATCAAGTGGGCGGCTACTAAAATAAGCTCGATTTCAAATAATATTCCGTTATCTCACAGATACATTGTTTCATTGCCGCCCAAGATTACGTTGATCTGTTAGCATATTTCATCCGTTTCTAACTTTCTGTGGCAATTTCTGCTACGGTACCCAACCAGGCGTTGTCTGCGAATTCAGCTTATAATTCTGGGTAATGGGATCCCTTTGATCAATACCTACATGAGAATATATATTACATTGTTCACTCTAAACCCTTGTCATTCGTTCGAAATTCTCAAGTTCATTGTCTGCTGATAAAGGATGGGTTTGTACAGCCCGTTACATACAAAGCGCACTGAACATGCACTGTATGAATTTGTAGCTAGTGGTGTACATAGTGGTATGAATTTCGAATGTCAGAGGATGTGCTTGAGACCTAAGGGTATCTCAATCCACTCGGGACCTCACGGTACAACCAAAAAGGGTAGGTTTATATCAGAAAGTGGCAAGGAATGAATTGCATCAATGAAGAGGATCCATCCCTGGCGCTCCTACATCACCAATGGGGCAATCGCGAAGTTGCGCAGCACCTATGACTGCATCAAGGTATTCACCGGACTGGAAGACGAACTCAGCATGACAAGGGATTCGGGAATACAATCACCTTGAAACCAAACACAGTAGGAATATTGTGTCTGCAGACAGGCCGACCGGCTGTATGGGTTCACTCGCCTGGTAGCTTTATTGAAGGTAGTGGGATGTTGCTGCCGCGGCTTTGAGCTGTTTAGGCAGGCTATTAGGCTGGAAAAATATGATTGTTCTTTCAGCAGAAATGAAGAGAACCGAATTATGTCAACTTAATCGAATGAGCGTGACTGGACACAAAGAATGTTTTTACGTTAGTTAAAGTGGCCAGGAGGAATCTGCGGTTCGCGGGATACTCTCCTGGCCAGCCTTCCTAGAAATCCACATCTGCGATTCCGCGTTGGGACGTAGGCTGGGCACGGCTAACCTGAAACGTTCTGCTATTAGGACGTGTCCACATGGCCGCTGTACTTGGATGCCGCCGGCCATATATTCGCCCATTCCTATTATCTTACATCTCCAAGACCACTGCCTGAGAATCATTACTCGGTCCTCCGAGCAAAGGCGGAATACAGGGAATGATAGAAGCCCTTGAGAACCGTGACCTTTAATTTAAGCTATATTTGACCCCACTGACCCGGCTCATAGCGGGCAATTGGACTGTCGTACGGCACATGCCTAAGCCCCAGTATTTCGGGGTCGACTACTCATATCTCTGATGGCAGGTCCATCTGCCGCAGACCTTGGTCTGTGGTGACCAGTCCTCTGGGGAGCTCCTTTGGTAAGTGAGATTTATTCGTTCATAGTCTGGACGACCGCACCTGCGGTTGTTGACCACTGTCAGTGTCCCGCAACGGGCTCATCGGGACGGGGCTGGTTGTTCTCGTGAATCGTGCCGATATCACTTCGCCAAGCCGGACGGTCGGCAAGGATGACACGGTCAACGCTCACTACGTTCGGTTGGAGGCCTTTGTTGGGGCACCACTATCTTCACATCTGGGTCTATGAAATGATTGCAGAGAGGTATATCGGGCTGGATGGCTGGTCATATGCAAAATGGAAATCCGAGAGGGAGCCTGCCTCGTGTCTTATCGACCTAGACAAATGATGCAGCAAAGAGACTTAAGTGGCAGCGAGGAAACCAAAGTTAGGTGCAGCAAAATTACTGACGGCAACTTGTACTTTACATCAGCGTCGTGGGTTTGGAGTCATCAATTCACGTAGACTTCAAGCAGAACGTCTTTTCGTCCCATCCAAATCTGCGCCTCAGATGCCTGCCAATGTTCCGAGCGGCGTGAAATTCATATTTCGAGTGTGGGTGAGGACTGTGTACCTGAATCCTCTGCCGAGTTTTATAATGAATAAATCCCACCGAGGAGCCAGAGGTAGATTCTGACCGGAAGCCAGCTTCCGTCATTGCAGACATGAAATCTCTCCAGGGGAGCTGCCCCGGGAGCGCACCTTCCCATCTGTGAGGAAGTAGCATTCGAAACACCTGTAGAGATTCATGCGTCACGCTAATCTTTGGGGTTGGAGTGCCGTCTTCTGGTGGCGGTATGGGGAATTCTGACGAAGGCGCTTGCGCAGGCCCCCGTGTTTTGGCCTTCTCGGGTTGCGTATTACCTGTTTGGCTTTTGCTAGGTCTCTGTTGTGTACGATGTGCGAGCTCGAAATCAATCACATCCTGTGAAACCTGAGGAACATGAGGAGCCCTGGGTTCTCGACGACTCATGGGCTCCACCCAGTTGGGAGTACGATATGGTACCCAAGTTGCATCAACGGGCAGTTCCATCTGTTTCAGGTGGTCCAAGATCTCACGATCCGCCTCCGCCCAAAATTTATCGAGGTTGGCTTCTGCACGTTGCATTGCATTCGTCCGCTTGCGCGAGGGTTTCTTGTTCACCGGATAGGCAAATCGCTCTTCCACGGGCGCGACTGACGTAGCCAAATCCGACTGGTTCCACGCCTTGTCCGGCAACAGCCATCTCGCCTTAGCTTTCTCCCAGTCTTGACGGAAAGACGCTTCTTTTCGCTCGAGTGCGCTTCTAATGTTTCTGGCCCACGGCTGGAAAGCAAAGATCTCGCGCACGCACTCTGCCAGTGCAGATAACTCCGAAATGGTCCTCATCACCAGTGGTGACAGGAGGCTGACGGTCGCCTGATCTTTCAAAAGAACGGTATCGAATAGATCCATGAGTGTGGGGAGACCAACGTCTTTCCTAATGTCTTTATTCATGAGCATCGCGA